TTTCACCAGTGTTCTAACTATCATGAAAGCACCCCACCGTTATGTATCATTCATCAATAAGTCATCCTGAAGAAGAAAAATCCTTTGAAAATGTTCTTGTACCTTGTTTGTTACCCATTATAAAATATTCAAAAAAAAATCGGTCTACAAAAGTCGACGGAGGGAGGAGACTCACGATCGTGTACAAATCATAAATACGAAAGGCAGAATGACGCGGCAATGTGCAGTTCCAACCTACGACGGAACTCGTACATTCTACATGCTTCTTCTGCATTTGAAAAAAAAAATGTGCAGAGTAGAGGGAAGTCAAATAAAGGAACATAAAAAAGATATAATAAGTCGACTGGCTTCACTCGTTGCATATTAAAGCCTCTCGAAATCACCATAAGCCACAGTCACCCTTGCGGCCCTTTGAATCCCGATTTCTTCCTCCGCTTTGGATCAAATTGTGCTAGGGTTATATAAAAGTTATAACACTTTTGTTTCTATATTTTTTCGATCTTTACAGCTGAATTGTAACAATTACAATACCCAGAGATTGACTGTTAGTGCTAGCGTTCAGTGGCTGCGATGATGCGTTTAATATTTAGATTAATGTCGCTGTCCATAAAAAACCTAACGCATTCACCAGGAAATTCTATTACATTTCCATTAAACTTCTATCGAAAATGTTAATCGTTTTTTTTTGTCGATTTCATTGTAAAATTCGGCAGCTTCTTTGTACCCGATACGACTATACTGAGCTGAAGCATCCGGCCGGCGCAGGTTCAAACCCTGCCGAATACGAATTATTTTTTCGTGGATTTTGACCGGTGTCCACGATAAGGTCGATGCTCCGCACGTGGGAAAAAACGAACGGGCCGAGCTTGGTCCAAGCCCGCGTGCGCCGGGCTGCCGAACATCGGGGCACGTTCCTTAACCAGGATCGCGCCGGATTTGGTTGAAACCTAGGATGATAACATCGGGCGAGGTCTGGGCGCCGATCTCGGCCCATCGTTGGTTGCCAGTCGTTGGCCGGGCTCAATTAAACATTACTTAATTACATGAATATGATATGGGTGATTGAAATACAAGTAATTCAATATTACTCCTCAGCATTCGTAACAGGTGCAACGAGGAAAAAAAATCAATACTGGCATGTGACTAGCGCCGGGCTGGCTACCAAGCTATTCATGACAATTATCAATAATAACAAAAACAAAATACCATTTTTAGGATGATTTCTAGTATTAATTGTGCCCTACCTACCAAACTCTTTCGCAATTATCGCTGAAAAGCCGATTTTGTTAACTTAAAATATTACCCCAACTTGGGATCGAACCCGCAACTTCACGACTATTAATCCAACGCCCTAACCACTAGCCTATCGCGCAATTCGTAAAATCTCTATTTCACATCGTCCATATTAATTCCACCTCGTTTTTTTTCGACTTGAACGTTTTATTGTTTTGTTCATAAAGATATTAAGTGATTCAACTAGAGTTTAATCGGTAAATTAATTCAATAATGAATGACCATAACGATAATTATAACAACGACAATTTATTTTGATTGACAATTCTTCTTTCCTTCGTCATAATTAGCGAATGACATGTGACTTCAATACCTACAATGCCACCTTGACCATTTTATTTTTACGATTACACCCTTAAAAGTTCACCCTCAAGATTCCACCCTTACAATTCAACCCTCACAATGTTACCCTTATAATTTTCTGGCCCCTTTCCATTATTACGATTTGACCCTTATAATTTTACTCTTCAGATTTTACCCTCATGATTCCACCCCTATGATTTCATTCTCATCATCTGACCCTTACGACTTAACCCTTACAATTACACCAACGGCTGGAAACCAATGACCAAGCTCCGGGCCACCGCTGGCTGGGGCTTGGTTATCGAGCTCCGGTATGCCAATGTTCGGCCAAGGCTGGGCCAGATCTGTCAACCAAGGCTCGGTTACCCGCCCTTCCCCCGAGACTCAAGCCCTGGTCCCCAGGGATGGCCGATCCTCGGTCCAAGCTTGGGCGCCCAGACTTGACAAGACCAAGCGTGTGCCAGACTTGGCCCGTTTTTCCAACACTGGCATTTCCTACGTGGCGCGGCCCACAATGCGAAATCACTTTTCCGTAATGCCCTTCACTTTTTCTCGGCCGGAGATTGGTATAGGCCCTCCCTAAACTCGTGAAAGTAAAAATCTCAATGCACTGTTAGAAATTTTTTGAAATTTCATGGAAGATCGAGATACGCGGCAGCGTATCGGCCAAGAAAAGTTTTCACTCCGATTGTACAAAACATCAGGCCGATCGCTGCCGTGTATCTATACACGAAGCAACTACCCCCTCCACTACCTCCGAATCATATCCATTAAATAAAATACAAACGTGACGAGCTACATGAAAAATACTCTTAGTTACATTATATAAATTGGCCACAAGCTTCTCATTGATGTAACTATTTTTTTGTTCAAAGCAATATTTAAAAAAATACGCGCATAGCAACGGGTTCATATGCACATTCTCGCATTTCACATCAACTCCTGTCATTTTTTTGTTACGGAGTTGGTAGCAGTGCAATACAACCACACGCACCAAGGAGGGAAGCCCGGGAATTTACAAATTGAATATGGTGCACGAATGATGAATTCCACAGATATTTTTCATTCGAGTTTCGTGCACAAATGAATTCTCGAAGAAGCAAATTCAGTCGGAAAATCTTGAATAAATAATTAAAAGTCGGTGCAAATAACGACTGTGGAATAGAACTATTTGTTTTACTTCGATTGTTAATTGGAAAGATGATTTATCGTGTGAAAAATAAATGAGCCGAATTGAATTGAAAATGAAAAAATTTACAGGATATAAAAACGATTCCTTGTTTATTTTGAAAAAAATAATGAAATCTCCCTAAAAAAACAAAAACACATGTTTTTGTAAAAAAACTGCGCCAAGAAAAAGTTTTGTTTGGTTCTTACTGGAAAGTAGAAATTTTTGAAAAATACAAAGGAATGAAAAAGAAAGCCAAGTCAGCAATGTCGAATAAACGAAAATAATGCACAATCAGATTTCTATAAGAGAAATAGTTTCAAATCGAATGAGGATTTTAAAAAAATTCTTGATGAAATAAAAAATTAATAGAAGGAGGACCAACGTTCTTGGCGCGGAGTTTTTCAACTCATTGTCTAGTATCAATCTAATTCTGCATCTTCTGATCCGCGCCAAGGATGTTGGTCCTCCTTCTACTAATTTTTTATTTCATCAAGAATTTTTTTAAAATCCTCATTCGATTTGAAACTATTTCTCTTATAGAAATCTGATTGTGCATTATTTTCGTTTGTTCGACATTGCTGACTTGGCTTTCTTTTTCATTCCTTTGTATTTTTCAAAAATTTCTACTTTCCAGTAAGAACCAAACAAAACTTTTTCTTGGCGCAGTTTTTTTACAAAAACATGTGTTTTTGTTTTTTTATATTATAGTACATCTCATGAGAGTGACATTGAATTGGATTTAGAAGAAAATGATTATGAAATTTCAAGTTTTAAGTAGAATTCACGGAAATTCATGAGTTTTCATCGGGAGTGAGAGGGAATTTCACAACTTGATTGAATTCTCAGTGGAACATGAATATTCAGAAACAAATTGACATGAATTTTCAATCTTTCCCAGAATTTTCACAGAAATCATTGACCTGAAAAATCGAGTTTCCCATCACTTTTTCGCATATCATTTTTCGTTCTAAAAATTTTCACAGATGAATGTGAAGGGAAGAGGAGATCCTCATGTAGAGATAAAATCTCATGTGCTGAATTCCCGTTCGTAATTTAAGCTCAAGTGTGGAAATCGACGTTCGCAGATATGAAGTGCGGAAATCGACGTTCACGCATGGAAAGTGCGGAGCCCAGCACTCTCATATGCGGAACAATGTTCACACAACTCGAGGATAAGTCCCCTGAAGGGATGGGAGAAATTCACTTTACGTACGACCTCTAAACTGTACGCACGCCGGCCGGAAAACGAGCCTTACGCACATTAAACCATCCAGTGGAGTGAGCTCTTTAGGCAGATATTGGAAAAATTTATCTTTGGAGAATATATGAATCCTATGTGATTTCTAACTGGTGAAATAAATTTACAAAATCTATTCAGTGTTTGAAACAACGCATATACAATTTTATTGTTTAATGCAAAATATCAAGAATGGAATGTACAAAATAACAATGGAATAAAATTCAAAGTTGCTACTTACACATGTGGTCGAATGGGACATCGATAAGTTCAGCGTCTTTTCCACGTCACCCCTCCAAAGATGATGTAGGGAAAACGCTAAAATAATCAATGCCCTATTTAATCGCGTATATAAGTAGCAACTTTAGAAATTATTTCCACTCTTATTATGTACATGCGTGTTTTCATACTTTGCACACAATTTCTGAATGGATGAAATAATATATAAACGACGAATTTTCATTCAACTCTCTGTTTTTTTCTAAAACTCTCGGAATCCGCCATGATATCCTTAATTGTCAAATGAGAGATCAAAAGGATCGAAAATTCTTTCGAGGTCATTTTGGACTTAAAATGTACAGAAGGTTATCAATATTGTCTAAGTATACATAACTCCATATCGACAAAGTGGCCCCTTTTCATGCAGACGTCTACGTATAGATAAGTACAAATATGCGAAAGTGGGATCCTTTAAATGTCGACGTCCACACTTGCTTACAGACGGAGTTACTGAGGAAAAAAAATTCCACCCATTTACTAGATGAATTATTATAGAGCCACAAAAAAATCGTCGAATCGGAATTTCCGCATAGAGCGCCCGTCTCCCCCACAATTGCCCTACTCTCGCATCGGCTATTTTTTCCATCGGCTATTTTGTCGTAGACTCCGTAATTGCCCGGCAGGGAAAAATGTTGAAGGCCAATTTTAAGTAGGAAATTACGTTAGATCCTATCCTGGAGGACTAATTATAACCCCTGATATGTGTTTATATTTCAGCAGACATCGGACTTGGACACACTGCTGTGTCGCCAGGATCTGGAACAGCTTCAAAAACTCGACGACGATGATACCGAGAAGTCGCCTCGTGAGCCACTACCAATGGATGATTTCTTCGAGACGAGTGGACCAAATCCCTGCCGACCTCAAGCCAGTTTTGTGTCAACGAGGAGTCAGCCGGCAGGTACAGACGATGACGTCTTTCTTAGGCCACCGCTCTGGGAGGACATTACCTCGAGTATTCAGAAGCTTGATCCGGAGAATGCTGATATGCTTGGTTCACAGTCCACCCCTCAACATGTTGCCCATGTTAAAATGGAGACCGAAGACATCACCTCACCGGTTCTATCACCAGTCGAGATAAAGAGTGAACCCCTACAGTCACAACCCACTCTGCATCTACTTGAAGGACGTCAGAACAATATCAACAATTATCCCAGCTCGAATAATGATCATCGAGCGGGTCTCAAGACATTTAATCATAATAATAATAATAATAACAATAATAACAATAATAATACCAATAATAATAACAACAATAATAATGAGACGAATCATCATGGTCACCAGAGTGGTACTGGTACCTCGCCTCTTTATGGATCAATGACTAGGCTCATGTATGTTTCACCTTTAACGCCCCCAATATCCGATCCAGGATCACCGCTCGCTGGACCACCCAGACGAACACCACCACCTCCCTATCCCCAGCCATCCATGATCAATCAGAACCACAGGATTCAGACGACTTCAATTACCAAATTTAATCGTAGGAATAATCCAGAGTTGGAAAAGAGGAGGGTTCATCATTGTGACTTTATTGGTGAGAATATGTTTCTTGTTTTTTTATCAATTAAGGGGACCCTTCAGCAATCTATACTTGTGTGAAGTTCCGCCAGGTGCTAGAGACAGCAAAATTGAAATCGTCCGTTAGTTGGGTAGATTGGAAAACGATCATCGAAATTTTAAAGACTTTACTCGTTCATTTTTTAAACTTTAAGGTACTTCCTCAGTATAACTTTGGGGTATAAAGTGGGGGTAAACATCAAAGGTGCCGACACTTCACTGCATCGTTCGAAAAAAAAATACCCAAATTTTAAAGATTCAAGAGTCAATGGAATTTTTTCTGATCGGATTCCTTTTTATTTATGACTCATAACTATTGGACCGACGATTTTTTTATCCTCAAATTTTTTTTTAATCGTTATATTACATCGTGGACATTCGGTAAACGAATGCTTATGCAGCCGCCCCAAATTTCCGGTGCAGAAATTTCCGATTCAAAATTCCCTATAAAAGGCGGATCGGCACGCTCCACCATCAGTCGTAAATTGGCAATCAAAAAGTTAACATCGTAGCTGTGGTAAGGTCAGTCTAGATATTGACATATACCCGAGTGGAAATTGCTTCCGGCCCACCTGAAGCACGATCAGAACTTGATCAGGTTTTTGTAAGGTTCGACTGATCCGGTGACTCCTGATGAGAATCTGACCAAGTTTTGATCCAGCAGATCGGAGCCGAAAAACTACAGACGGGTTCAGATCAAGTTCTGATCAGGTAGACATGATCAAATGATGCCTGATGAGAACCTGACCAAGTTTTGATCCAGCAGATCGGAGCCGAAAAACTACAGACGGGTTCAGATCAAGTTCTGATCAGGTAGACATGATCAAATGATGCCTGATGAGAACCTGACCAAGTTTTGATCCAGCAGATCGGAGCCGAAAAACTACAGACGGGTTCAGATCAAGTTCTGATCAGGTAGACATGATCAAATGATGCCTGATGAGAACCTGACCAAGTTTTGAATAATTATTTTTAATCTTTAAAAAGGATCATTATACTATTATTAAAATAAATTTAATTAAATTAAATCAATTTCATTTAATGAATTTAATTTAATTAATCAATTTAATTAACAACCAGCCCTTCTCAAATGTACAGAAGGGAGGGCTGATGATGCCGTAAATACGTATTAGAGGAGTATCAAACTTACACGTAAATGATCTTGTGAAAAAAAATCACCAAATGTCTATTTATTCATTAGTGTTATTGTTATTATCATTATGATTATTCATTAATGAAATGAATAAAAATTTTATTGAGCATATTTTATCTCTGAGAATACACACGTACATCCGCGAGATCAGGAATAATCGTAAATTCAACGAATACCCCGATACAAATCATATAGGCAATGTACAGTTTACTCAATAGTAATAGGACGATAGCGTAGTGGTTAGGGTATAGGATTAGCAATCATAGGGTCCTCGGTTCGATCCCCAGCATCGGTAAAAAAATAATAAGCTTTTTCAGAGGTAAAATAACAGTACAGATTCATTAAGAGAGGCGGCCTACGGTGAAAGAATTGAATTATCTTTTGTTTTGGATTAATTATCATTGATAATTGTTATTGATACTGACAGACAGGTCATCCGGTTTTCATACAGTTGACTTGATCAAGTTCGGATCCATTCGTCGTAATCAAATTCGGATTGGTCAGAGGCGTAACACGTCTGATCAAGACCGGATCCGTCAACTTGATCAATACCTGATCAGTTGTCAGGTCTAACCTGATCCAAACTTGATCAAGACGTGACCGAAATTTCCACTCGGGTAGATACGTCTATGGTTTCAATATGGGGGGTCATTTGGGGAAATGGTCCTTATGTGCAGCGCCGGCTATCGGAATTTTAGAAAAGTCTAGATATTTCGAAGTAATTAGAGAAGTTTTTTGAAATTTCTACAAACTCCTTGCATTTTGTCGAAATTTCAAGAAATTTTGAATTCGAGAAATAATCCCTGAATTTCGCGAAAATTCAGGGAGTTTCTAGAAAATTCGAGGGAATTCAAGGAGTTTCTAGAAAATCGGAGAGAATTCAAGGAGAAAATTCGAAGGAATACAAGGAGTTTCTAGGAAATTCGAGAAAGAAGGAAANGTTATTGTTATTATCATTATGATTATTCATTAATGAAATGAATAAAAATTTTATTGAGCATATTTTATCTCTGAGAATACACACGTACATCCGCGAGATCAGGAATAATCGTAAATTCAACGAATACCCCGATACAAATCATATAGGCAATGTACAGTTTACTCAATAGTAATAGGACGATAGCGTAGTGGTTAGGGTATAGGATTAGCAATCATAGGGTCCTCGGTTCGATCCCCAGCATCGGTAAAAAAATAATAAGCTTTTTCAGAGGTAAAATAACAGTACAGATTCATTAAGAGAGGCGGCCTACGGTGAAAGAATTGAATTATCTTTTGTTTTGGATTAATTATCATTGATAATTGTTATTGATACTGACAGACAGGTCATCCGGTTTTCATACAGTTGACTTGATCAAGTTCGGATCCATTCGTCGTAATCAAATTCGGATTGGTCAGAGGCGTAACACGTCTGATCAAGACCGGATCCGTCAACTTGATCAATACCTGATCAGTTGTCAGGTCTAACCTGATCCAAACTTGATCAAGACGTGACCGAAATTTCCACTCGGGTAGATACGTCTATGGTTTCAATATGGGGGGTCATTTGGGGAAATGGTCCTTATGTGCAGCGCCGGCTATCGGAATTTTAGAAAAGTCTAGATATTTCGAAGTAATTAGAGAAGTTTTTTGAAATTTCTACAAACTCCTTGCATTTTGTCGAAATTTCAAGAAATTTTGAATTCGAGAAATAATCCCTGAATTTCGCGAAAATTCAGGGAGTTTCTAGAAAATTCGAGGGAATTCAAGGAGTTTCTAGAAAATCGGAGAGAATTCAAGGAGAAAATTCGAAGGAATACAAGGAGTTTCTAGGAAATTCGAGAAAGAAGGAAAGACCACACTGAGAGAAAAATCTGAAGTTCGATTTACAATAAGAAAATAGTTGAGGGAGTTTTGGTGAACGATACGATTTTTTTTTGTATGCGGCACATAACATTATAGTAACTTCACAAGCGTAATTTTCGCAAATCAAAATGCAGTTAAACTAACCAAAGTTCAAAAGTAACCACGACAAATTTATTGTGAGTAGAACTATAAAATAATAGCAATGACTACATTCCATTGTAGTAATCACTTCTCCGACCATAGTTACCGTAACCCATGAGAAATTGTTGAAGACTTTTTGACTATAGTGCGATAGTGATAGAATATAGTCAGAAGAATCATATTTTTCTCTCAGTGCATAGACGTATCCACATACAATTACAACTGTATCGAAGATACAGCCGCCTGCAAAGATCAGGCAACAAGGCATTTTCGTTAGACGAAGTTGATGTGACTGTCCTCTGATATGAACTTCTATTACACTGCAGTATGTTTGCTTCCATTTACTATATGACCTACAGTCGAGCTAACTCGGTACATTCTAACCTTCTCTCACCGTTGTCATGGTACACCGCCAGTTCTCTCTAGTTGAACGAAAATAATAAATTATGAAATTACAAAGATATATTCTTGAAATGTGGTCGATTGTGGAAATCGGGTATTTGCATTACTTGTACATTGTCGATGCTCGTACTGAACAGTTGAAAAATGACTCTCATAAGACGCTGCACAAATAATATTTTTAATCATTTTTTTTTTACAAAAACCTGGGCAGTCAATTGTGTTCGGACTCCTTGCGCCGTATTTCTGGCTATTTCAAGAATTTTTCCTCAAAATTTCACATTTTTTGTACATTGTCGACTGTTCCCATATAACTGACTGAGGAAGTACCTTAACGACTATAACGTTTCTATCTGTAAAGAGAAAAGTAATTTTCCAATAATTTTCAATGATGATGGTTATTCTATGCGTCAGAAATTCATTTTACATTTTGAGGGAGGTGGAAAAAAAAACAAAAATTCCATCACTGATCTCAGGAATCCGTTAGTTAGAACGGAAAATACCAGAGAAACATAAAATGATGGAAAAAAAATGGTATTCCTCATACTGATAGTAGGAAAACTAAGAAATTCGGAGGATAGTTCTTTAAGCCCCTCAATCTTATAGAACAATCTCCCGTTGATTTTGGAGGATGAGAATGGTCGATTTTACATGGAATACCTCACATACACACATTCATAAGGCCGTAATGCAATAACAATGGTAGAAAAAATTAAAAGTTTTTTGAAAATACTTAAAAATACAAATGTAAATTATTTGGCAATGTCTTGAAAAAATCTTCGTCGGATAAACGAACCTTTCGATCGGTTCTTGTAAAGCTCTTGAACTTGAGGGACATGTACGCAAACTATCTTATTTGCCCCATTTACTACAGTATTGTTTGATCAACGGGAACTTGGTCTTATAAGTATGGTGTAATGATCTTATCAGTGTGTTCGGAACAAAACTCTATATCAATATTCTTCCATTTTGACTGTTCTTAAAAAAAGCTCAAGAATTGAGTGCAGATTTAGTAGACCAAGTCAAGTCCAAAGCGAATTTGTAAATATCTTGAAAGAAATAATTCATTGAGAAACTTGTCGCGTAGATTTCGTGTACTAAACCTACTAGTTTCATTCCATTAAACGATGATCCTCATTAATTTCCCGTATGTAGCACGAATTTGAATTCTTATTTTGATAAAATAATCGCTCCCGGTGGCTTGGCGCAGTGGGTAAGTTCATTGCCTCGCATGCGAAAGATTCCGAGTTCAAATCCCAGCCGGGTAGAATGGTGCGATCTAACCATTTAAAGTCTTGATCATCATCGCAGTATACCCTAACGGGGTCGAAGCGATGTAAAATAACGATTAAAAAAACAAGCAGTATGACGGAAGCTATTTAAGAGATCACAAAATTTCTTTTTCCATTTTAGTTTCTACCAATTCCATTGGTAGTATGCTTCCAAATGGAACTCGATCCCTGTTTCTTAGAAATGAAACCTTATTGGTTGGTATTTTTGAAAATGTTCTGGCCAACAATACTCAAATTTCATTACCTTTTGATGTACCATAGACTCTGCCCCTTTTACGTATGTACATTTTTTCTTCCACCCATTGAAATAGAGAAGCAGCAATATTTTGAAATTTAGCTGAATAATACTATACCTTGAGAGCGGAGTTACTGTTTTAAAAAATTTCAATCATGACCTTTTTTTTGTTTCGTTCTTACGATTCTTCATATAATTCAGCAATTATTCTTTAAAATTACATAATGAGACTATAATTTCTTACTCTATTATTACATAATAATACTCTCTTTTAAACGTTCATTCTTCTGAAAAAAAATTTTTTTTTATGTGATATGATCTTTCTAAGTCAGCCTAGAGTGAAAATGAACAGTTAAATATAGATGCGTTGATCCTTTTCTTCTTAAGAATCTTTGATAAATTGTTCTATCTCAGTAACTATTGAATATATTGACCTAAAATTAGATATAGGAATGTTATTTGACAATCCTAACTAGTAGTCAATGTTTCAAAAGGTTTCCCTGATTTTAATCCATGTTATAGTGTTCAAGAGTGAATTCTGACCAAAAAAATACAAAAACGCCTATATCTTGAAAAGTTTCTATAGAGGGGTATACATATTTTGATTGATGCAGATACATGACATCAAGACGATCATTTAAAAAAAAATTGAAATCGGTTGTATAGTTTTTGAGATATTGAGCAACACACTTTCACATAAAAAGTTGAATATCTCCGAAACTACTGATCCGATTTTGCTCATCCAAAATACCAAACTTTGTTATCACAAGGCATGAAATCCTACCAAGTTTTAAGTTTCTATCTCGATTATTTTTCAAGTTATCATGTTTACAAAAAATTTCAGCGAAAAAATGAAAAAACGAGAATAAAACCACATTGCTTGGGGTGTAATGGTCTTTTTTCAATCCATTTAGATAGGTATCATCACGACGAGTATTTTGAAAAAAAAAATCGAATCGGTCGAATGGTTCAGGAGATATCGGCAAAAAACGATTTTTGAGGAATTGCTGTATCTCAGGAACCGCTCAACCGATCGAGCTGAAATTTAACCCAGTTTTGAGTATCAATAGTACCAGATACCAGCCAAAATTTCAAGTTCTTTGCGCTAACCGTTCTCGAGTTATGGGGGCAATTGGGGACATACGCACACACATGACCACAGACATGCATACATATACATACAGACATTTGTTAAAAACATCATTTTTTCGCGTTTCATGACATTTCTAGGCATTTCCCCCCAAAATTAGGAAATCGAAAAAAATTACAATTATACAGCTTCCATTCGGAAGCAATAAATTAAAAAAAAATGAAATAATAGCAATACAATTGAAATTGTTTTACTTTTACTGTAACGAAAATTGAAAAACATTCCTCTCTTATTTGCTTACAGGATGTACGAAAGTTTATACGAAAAGTTCTCACCTGAAGGCACATCAGCGGATACACACAGGTACATTATAACTAAAAATTACGTGAATAATGTAATGGTCATTAGATTGCGGAAATTCAATGATAATAGTGCAAAAATAGTGTTCGATGCGCTCCAGGGCGTGGTTCGATGGTTGCGATCGTGTGTGGGTGCTGGGTGAGTGTATAAAGAGACGGGTTATATAGAGGTGAGATGGGATTATGTGCAACACCGAGTTAGCGACCCACATCTCAAAACGTTCACATGCGAAGCTACATTCGAGTTTAGAGCGCAAATATACCACTATAGTCTACGGAATATTCACCTGTGATCCAACGGTTTATTTAGAATTTCAATCTCCATGTAATATTACTCTGCCACAACTGTTGAATAAAAAGTGATGAATAAGGAATTTCCATTTTCAAAGTGTGCAATGCTGGATAGATTTATCAAATTATTGTTATTCGAAATTTCGAGTCCTCAAATATTCATTATAATTGACTTCTTCAGTAATGAATATTCTTCAGTAGCATGGGATTCATTCCAAAAAAAATGAACATCATAAACTGAGATTAGTAATTATGATAAAAACTCACTTGAATATGGAGAAAATCTTAAAAAATCCTTGAATAATTAGAAATTCATGTTTTATTTGGGAGAGAAGGAGAATTATGAATTTACAACAACAACTGAATATCAATATATTCTTGACAATGTTTTGCAGATGAGTCATTGCTATTCTTAGAGTCCACCAGTTAAAATGGCATAATTACTTGACAAGTGATTCTACTTTTAATTAACAATCAATCAATTGAAAATCAGTTAGTTATTATATAAATTCACTTAAAAAACGCAGAAAATGGTAAAATGGTAAACTCGGCCCATAAATCAAAGCTGAAATAAAAAAAGTTGATTGAAGCTTGTAATTCAAACATATTGGAGAGATGAAAAACGAAAAAGCCGAGTGAATAATATCGGTAGCCCATTGGAGAGCCTCAGGCACGTGGCACACCGGTATTTCTTGAATGACCGCGCCATCTCATAAGTCGACGGTCAATACACATTGAAGAAAAGGTATATCCCACTACGTGAGCCTTTTCATTCTTACGTGGTGCATATGTAGACGAAATGTCGTTAATTTGTGTGAGTCTGGCAAAGAGTGGACATAAGGAACCGTGTGAAGACGTCTTCGGGGTGGGTTGGCGTGTGCGCGGGCGCGAGGCAAGCAGCATTCCTCACTTTCCAGCCGTACTCGATATATTGCCTTCCTTCCTTAAACTTTTCTGCTTGCAAGAGAATCGATTCTATCGATTCTTCTATCGATTTCTTCAATGTGGGTTACAGCGGGTTACATTTTATCTGTCAATTTAAATGATTTTATTAAATATTCTTCACATTCTCCTCAAATATTTGCCTGGTGAAGAATGCTTAAATTCTACAAAAACTCGAGAGAAGTGTTATACGCGGAGAAAATTGCTAGGTGAATTTCATCAACTAGATGTTGAAAAAATAAATTACCAATTAGTTGTTGAATTTCAACAACTAGTTGGTGAAATTTAACAACTAATTAAATAAAATTGGGAAAAGATTTTTCAATTTCATTCGACAACGATTTCCTAACTTATTCTAACTTTCAATCTAAACGGGAATATTCAGTACCCAATTATGCTGAATTTTCGATTAATGGAGAACTAATATGTATCAAAATTTTCCTGATTTCGATTGATTTTCATGGAATATTTGTACTGATATTTACATTTTTCATTGATTTTCTCATAAAATTTCGAGCTCTGAATAATGAAATTACGTGAAATTTCAGTCAGAAAAAAATTCCAATGAGTTCACGGGAAATTTCAGCCAAAAATTTGTAGCTATGGTTATCTATAAAAAACAACCGGCTTGAACCTCTAATTCAATAAATTCAATGAATTTTTCTTACAAGGTAGATGGTGAGGACATATATATCATTTATATCTTAACAGTCGATCAATGTCTTCCCTAGAAGATATTTTCCCAATAATCTACAATTTCTTGTTAACTTTGATCCATTCAATAAATCGACGAACGTGTATTGAAAATTTAACAAATGGTTGTCGAATGAAATTGAAAAATCTTTTTCTGAATTTTAATTAATTAGTTGTTGAAATTCACCAACTGGTTGGTAATTCATTTTTTCAACAACTGATTGGTGAAATTTCCCAAATAATTATTTATTAGTAGAATTTCTCAGAAAAAGTGTTTAGCAATTCCAATTTTCAATAACCCTCGATAAGTGGGAACATTCTGAAAATTATGGGAATCTCGAAGCTGTATGATCCGTCGCTAATTGGGAGGATGTGCCCCATACTCGTGCACTGAGAAAAAAAATGTTTTTTGAGCAGTACTTCTTTACTTACATAAAGAAACTCACAGCTCGAAAATGGATAAGAAAATATGTCACACTGGGAAAAGAAACCTTTCGTCATGAGATTTCGTACTTGTCCGAAAGATTTGTTCACAACAAGGAAGCGATTTCTGGAACCAACTCAAGTTGCTTTTGCACGAAAATATTTTGGATTTAAGACTTAAAAACTATTTAATAAACTGATTCAACTAGGCTTGGGTTGAGAAATCACTTTCTTGTCATAAACAAATTATTCTCGTCTTTGGGACAAGGACAAAATCTCTTGACAAGAGTTGTTTTTTCCTCAATGTAAGATATTTTCTGCTTGTAGATTTTCGGGCCATGAATTTCTTGATACAAGTGAAAACGTTCTTATTAAAAAACTTTTTTCTCAGTGTCGAACAGGGAAAATCTAATTTGACGATTATCAGATACGTCTGGAAGGCAAAGAGCGAACACTATTTTTGAAAATCAAATGACACTCTTTTCGTAGTCAATGTAATTGTTTACGACGTCCGTCAAATCCCTTACCTGCTTTAAACTCCTTTTTTAGTACATTATTTGTTGTAAATGCCTCAAATAAATAAACGTCGCCCACATATCCTATAGAACTATAACACGCATTTTCCACCTAATCCAGTTGATAGTTATCCTGTATAAAATTATTCATTTTAATCAGGAGAATCCAATAAATAAACATTCATACAATACAAAACAAGTGGATAATTGCATTTTCCGCATATTGGTATAGTTTATATTGCTAACAAATTAGCAATATGCTTCCAAATGGATTCTCTATTTTTAAAATTTATTACTTTTATTTTTTGTTTTGAATAGTGACACCCATATGACTCTCCTATGATCCCTATATTACCCTTTTATGAGCCCACAGAACCCCTCTATGACCTCATACAGCCCCTATATGAACCTCATATGAACCCATATCACTTCATATCACCCCCCCATATTGCCACATATGACCTCCATATGACCCCGTACAACTTTTATATGACCCCATATAACCCATATATGACTTCCATATGACCTCCATATGACCCCGTACAACTTTTATATGACCCCATATAACCCATATATGACTTCCATATGACCTCCATATGACCCCGTACAACTTTTATATGACCCCATATAACCCATATATGACTTCCATATGACCTCCATATGACCTAAAGCTTCATATGGCTACTATGCAACTTAATAAATAGTTATGCTGTTTTGATCATGTTTGCACTTCATCGAAAAAGCACCAAAACAATTTTTTTGAGCCATCATTTCATTGATATGACTGGTAATTTTTCCAGTTTTTCATGAAAAAATTTGTTTAAAAAATCTCACAAACTATATGCTGTAGCTCAACAGTGATAGATGCGATCCGCATCATATTCTGATAAAATCAAGAGGCTATCAATACAAATTTTTTAAGCCGTGATTCATTTCATTCTGATAATAATTCTTGGACTGAGCGTCGAAAAATCGATTTTTGAAAAAATACCAATATTTCGCAAAAAAATGAAAAAAACTACACACACATACATATATACATACAGACACCATCTAAAAATCGCATATTTATACTTTTTAGACCATATTTAGTTACCCTGACACAAAAATTTGAAAACTTAATTTTGAACGATTACAAAGCTTCCATTCGAAAGCAAAAATAAATAACAATCGTTGTTTATCAATAAAAATCGTCAAAGTGAAGTCCTAGTAACTGACCGTACAAATAGAACATCATAACTTTTGATGGGAAAAAAAAATCACTTCGAATGTGAAAATTGATTCTTTTAAATGGCCTGTCAAAATATAATAGCAAATGAAAAAATGAAACTTGAAATAATTATAGACAGTTAATTTTTTGACAAAGTCAGATACTGGAACATTCATTGACCTTACCGAGTTCACAGGGAGATGTAAATTTATTGAATTTCTCTTATATTGCAGGCGAAAAACCTTATCAATGCCAATGGCCGGAGTGCGAATGGAGATTCGCCCGTAGCGACGAATTAACCCGACATTACCGTAAACACACCGGTGCTAAACCCTTCAAATGTGCAGTATGCGAGCGTTCATTCGCCAGGAGTGATCACCTGGCGTTACATATGAAACGTCACTTACCAAAACAACATGCCAAGTGACACGAGGATGACTTGAAAATGGATGAAATCCTCACCTCCGGGGAATTCTCCTCGGCATTCTGATTTGAATGAAAAGATATGAATGTAGAGAAGAGAGAAGAGGGAAGAAGAAAGTGCACTTAAAGACGATTATAGTTGAGGAAAAAAAACTACATGAACTGAGGGCACTTTGATTCAGTTTATTATTCGGTCCTTCAGGGCCTACTGTACTTGAAACGGTGGCTGGTCCACGAAGAAGATAAACGGGAAACCTCCATTCAAGCGTGTACTTAAATCGTGATGAGCCTCAGGGTGACTCTCATCAACTGCTATCCTCCCCTGTTTGTTCAAGACCGCCTGCCATCCACCGCGACTACTAGATTTTAAGGGAATTTATATTAATTATCCAAAGACTACATTGCCGAATGCCGTAGGACGCGTTACGAGTACTCAATACATTATTGGATAATATTAAATTATAATATTAATTATTTGTTTGAATTTTCAATTTTTTATAGGTGAGATAAGTTTTTTGATGACGTAAATTTTCCAACAAAATTAAAAGTATTCCAAAAATTCTTGTTGTTTTTTTTCAATGATGAAGATTCTTGTTGTAGAATGAAATGAACAAAATGGACTACATCGATGTGCCAGTAAATAGTTGATATTTCTTCGTGGTTTCTCTGTAAATGCGTATCCCAAATTTTTTTTGGACGTTGAATTGCCTTTTTTTTAAGTAGCTCCTCATTTATTCTACTGAGCAATTCTACTAATGCTTGCACATGCAATATTGCTTCGAAAATTTTCAAGGATATGTTCTGTTTTTTATCAAAAAGTATAGTTCAAAATAAGAAAAATTTGCGCTGGACGAGCTCTTTAATTGAATAATTACAAGAGACTTTGGAGATTTTTTTTATTTCCTAAACACTGAATTTCTTAGACAAATAACATTCGAGGGACCACCTTCTGTGGGAAAAAGTATATCAAAATATAAGTTTGTTTAGGAATTTTCGCAATTTTGAGAAAAAATCTGCAATAATTAATTTCAAAAAATCTCCAATATCTCCGCTAATTGCGCAATTAAAGAGTTTTTTAAATAAAAAAAAAACAACCACAAAAATTTTTGCCGCAATATTTCATATACAGAATTGATCGAATTGCTCATTAATGTTTGGTGTCTTCAGTCGCAGAATCATCACTTTCATGTAAAAATTCCATAGAACAATATCGTTTAATCAAAACTATTAGGACTGATTTTAGAAACTATCAGAAAAGTTAATTTTTGACATGCTGCTACGTTCACCTGGTGCCGAAAAGCGCCTTTTCGTGAGAAGACCCGGTAAACCGCGATTCTAACCTCGCTTCGCTCGGTTTGATCGCGGTTTACGGGCCTTCTGACGAAAAATTGCATTCATCACACGGTCCAAAAGTATTTTCTGACGAATGTGATTATAGGCCTCGCCTTCGGCTCGGCCTACAAAGCCACATTCGTCAGAAAATACTTTGTGGACCTTGTGATGAAAATAACTATTTGGTTTACTCGTTTACGAAAAGTAAATGAAAAGGCACTTTTCGGCACGAGATGAACGTACTAGCAGTGTCAAAATAGTATATTTCGTAACGAGTGCAAAAAAACACTTTTTTGCACTCGTTACGAAATATACTAATTCGACACATCTGAGACAGGAATTTTCACGAGTGTGATTGGCAACTTCACACTCGGGAGAATTCCATCTCACTCGTATCGAAACATACTATTTCGCAACGACGAGTGTAAAATGCACATTTGAAATCTGCCTTTGCGCCTGTACCGTGACGAAAAATAGCATCCTAACCACGGAAGGGAAAATAGTCCACATATCGACACGACTCCTTTGATTTCCCTCCCTAGGTAGGGAATAAACTATTTCCATATTATATATCAGCCAAAAACCGCATTCCCTTGCGGATACGGTAAAACTCGATTTGTGAAAAATGCGTAATGACATTTACAATCCAAGGAATGAATAAAACTTTGAACTACAATTTGAAGGATTACACAGATGTGTTGATTTCCTACCATTACATTTAAAAATTAAATTTAAATCAAATTATTTCAAATTTCATCAGCTATAACGACAGAAAATTTATACCAGATGAAAAATCACAAATTCCGCAGAACGTTTTCCCTTTGAAATTATATGCACCATAATGGTGGATTTTTTTGTTTACCTTCTCTATTTCGCCTACATATTTTTCATGCTCACGGAGAAAAATGATTTCGTTGAAATAGCGCGCCGCCCCTTTACCCAGCATATTTCGGAGGTTCATTATTATTAACCGTTAATACACAGACAGCCAAGGTGTGCGTTACCGCAACGGATGTCTTCCGCCCGGGTCTGATTTTTTAGAATAGCAAGAGGGTTATGGTAGGGTAACTATCTTACCGATTTGCTACTTTAACAAATGAATTGCTATGTTATTTATCAGTAAAAAATATGAAAAAAATTATTATCTTTTTTCTTCATTGTCATAGTCAATTATACCTGTAGAAGTAACTCAGAATGCATTCAGCACAGAAAAAGCCAATTTCATTGACACAAATTATGTCCTTTTGCCGAGACCGCGCATCGAACTCAGGCCCTTACGATTACTAACCCTATAACGCGCTAACCACTAGGCTACTGCGCAATACTTACTCGTCGTAAATATCATATCAAGAATGTTCTTCCGCTTCGTGAAACAATTGTTTTTTAAATTAAAAAAAAAATATGTTATCCCAATCGACGTAATGGTTGGGTGAGTTAGGTGTTGCTCCGACGGACCTGCGAGTGCAGCTGCGTTCGCGGGTCCGTCGGAGTACGCGGTTAGTACTTGGATGGGTGACCGCTTACGGTGTAGTGGCCTAATGTTTCCCTCTAGTCAGTGTGACAGAAGGGTACATTAGGGCTCTGCAAAATCAGCCGGCTGTAGGACTGGGGTTTTCCATGGTTTTCGGTGCAGTCCTAGCCCGAATGGGGTACAGTTAAGAGTAAGATGGCCCATGGTAACGCAGATAAAAAATCAGAAGAGAGAAGTGGGAGAGGCAAGGCAGAATGGTAGTAGGAAAGAAATATGAATAAAAAAAAATATATATATATATTATTCCTTTACTTTTCTTATGGAAGAACATATTTGATATAATTAGTACAATAATTCAATGGAAAAACATGACAATAGTTTTGGCAAAATGAAATGCACAACTTTTATGGGTATCTTTTTAGCGATTATTTTCATTTAGATTTTTACATTTTAGATCTTGGTGGAATAGTACAAGAGCAAAGCACAATTGTTAACGGAACAAGGGATAGACTAAGACCCTGTAAATGAAAATGGTTATTGAAGGATCTATGATAGGGTTCAACAATAATTTGATAATAAACTCACTCATCTTCGTGAGGCCATGCGGCGAATAAATGTTTACATTCAAAAAAATGTTTACTTGTAATAGCAAATCAAAGATCCACTAATCCAGGAATATTGCACCAACGAAATGATCTTGGTAGTTTTAACGGAAAATTCGCAGGTAACAGTTACAAATTTCCAGTTATGGTAGCAAATCAGATCCTAGCGAATGAGTATTTGCTAGGCTACCGAAATTATTTTTTTGCGTGCTGTTGCTTTGAATGAGTTTTCAAATAGAAATGTAAATAGAGTTTGTAATATCACCATTGATGACGATAGAGTTCTATCAAATTCAGCGAACTAACAAACAATAGTTGATAATAATAATGATAAAATGATAAAATGTCAAATGATAAAACAAACACATGGCACATCTTTGTTGATTTTGCAATCATTTCAATAAATACAAGTTTAGAAACAATAGCAGTCTCTAATAGCTGAGGAAATTTTCCTATAAAATTGAATCTTCAATGCCACCACAATATTTGTTTGAATGAAAGAAAATAGTTTTTTTTGTTTCAAGTCAAATGACATCAAGCATCTGATGGCCCAATATTTTCATAAAATTATATCTTCGTAGACTTCTGAATTTCAATTGCATAATTCATTCCCAATTGAAAATTAGTTCTTGGCATTAAAATACACTTTTCAATTATTGTTTCACATTTCGAAAATGATTCAGTGAAAAATTTTATCCTCACAATGATAGAATAACAATCAGATGATTAATAAACACAAATCGATTTTCAGAGTACTCACAAGGAAAGTCACAAATCAGAATTGTTTGCACATATATTGTTCCTAGATTACTATTCAAAATAAAAAGTGTAATTATTCATGTTCCCGTCACTTATCCAACTCTAAAGAAATTCAATGAATAATGAATTTGGATTCATTGGCGAGAAAACCTAATTAACCCTTAAGTGTAAATTTAAATGTCCTAGTCGGAGCCGATGTACAAAGAAGTACTTACAGCTAATACTAGATTTTATCCATTGTGATTAGCACAATTGGTTATATAAAAAGATTTGCGTTAACGAAAAAATGGATTTTTCAGTGACTTTCGGTCACACCAAGTGTATTATTAGTTAAAGGAATTGCACTGGCAACTAATGGCAAACGTTGTTTAGAAGTAGATTCCAGGTAAAATGGATTTGAATTTTCTTTTTATGTAATTGTATGTCCCTGAAATGTGTTTTGTTAGTTAAAACAAATTTCTACATGAAATGAAAACTTTATGTGTAAGGCACTTCTTGGCACTAAATCGAAATAAAAAAACCAGTAAAAATTTTCTCGGAAATGATGTGAAATGCGAGAAAAATAGTTGAACAAATAAAGCGAATTCAATCACTATAAACATTTGTACTTTTTCATTTCACCTCGTCTTTGATGAAGTTGACCCTTCATGCCATAGTAGTGGGTAGACTAATATGGACACTAGATTTAAATAAAATGAGTTGAATTTGATCAAATCTATTATTCCGGCTTCATTTGAAGATTATAAAGTCGGAAGAGTTGTAATATAAAACGAAAACGAGCTAAAATGGACACTTTGAGTTCTTCCTCAATGGTTTATATTCGAAAGGTTCTATCACATAAAAGCGCACGTTAGCGCATGCGTTTGATGCATTTTGTCCACTCCATTTCTAAATAATGAACGTAGGTTGGTGAATTGAAATTTTTATCAAGATAAAGGCAATAACTTTATCTCTTAGTCGAAAAAAAATTAATTTTTTTTGAATACTTGCCCTTTTGGATAAACATCCTTAATTTAACTTTAAGGATGTTTAACCTATCAAGTGGACAACTCAGTTGAAAAGAAAAATAAAATTGAGTGGAGTGTTATGGCATACTTTTTCGGTCTCAAAAACAATCATTAAAACAAATGTGCATAAATAATGGAGGACTTGTGACTGCGGTGGTAACAGTCAAATTTTGATCGGGCAACATCGCACGCTTCGGCTAGTAGTGAGGTTGTAACAGTGAGGTGAATGTTTATGTGTGTTATAAGTGTCCATATGCTTCCAGCACTGAATTATTGTCACCGACTTTACCGATCTCGATCAGCTATTGTGTGCCCTGGCGGATCCCCCGATTGAGATTCGATCGACTGTCGATTGTAGAATCGAGTTGATCAGTATATCGATTCGTATGCGAGTGTAGTTCGATTCAGATCT